TCATTACCTTCAACTGTTTGTTCCCTTTGCAAGCAGCTGGACTCAGATGGGCACCCAGAATCGGATTTGTAACCAGCCCACAGAGATGGCAGTCAGGAGAGCTGACACAGTATCAGAGACTTCCCAATTTGCTGAGCAGAAACACAGAATACATTTCCAGGGGAGATTTACATACAGTTAGAGAGGTGGTTTCTGATGAACTGTTACTGAACAAAGATAGAATAACATCAATACAAGAAGATTTCAGCATAGTCTAAGGGTCTGAGAATTATTTAGGTGGGAAAAGACCTCCAAGGTCATCGAGTCCAACCTTTGACTCAACACCACCATGCCAACTAAACCACAGCATTAAGTGCCACATCCAGTTGCTCTTTGAGCGCTTTCAGGGATGGTGGCCCCACCACTTCCCTGGGCAGCCCACTGCAATGCTTTACAACCTTTTCAATGAAAAAAATTATCCCGAGGTCCAGCTTGAGCCCTGGCACAGCTTGAGGCCTCCTTACTCTTGTCCTGTTGTGCCCTCACACCTTTTATTATTTTTCTTTATTAAAAAGATTCAGTAGAATTCTAATGAAGCACTTCTTTAAGCACCATCTAGAATAGCCCAAACACAACCCAATATTTTTGTTTCACAGGATAACTAGACTTTGAAATTTGCTTTTGTTTCACAGTTGAATTAAACACTGCATTGAAAAGTTACCAACGAAACAAAAACAAAAAATCATTTCAATCAATTGAATGTTGTTTTGACAAAATAATTTTGTTTTGATAGCTACTCTCAGTTTTGATTTAAATTTTATATTAGAACATTAAATACATTTTTGAAATAAAAGTTTGAAACAAATGCATTTCTGCTCCAAAAATGCCAAAAAGCTTTATCTGGAAATATGAATAGAAAAAACAAATAAGAATCCTAGAAGCATTTTTAAAAAATGAACTAGTATTTGCACACAAAGAGAATACTAGTATCTATTTTTTAATGCTTTTAGTCCAGACCTTCAGTACACTTTAGTGAGCCTCAGAAGCTTGTGATACCTCTGCAATACTACCAATATATCAGTGACAATCTAATTATTATTAAGAATCCAGCTGATATGCTGCTCTTGTCCAAGAGCTGGTGGAGCTTACTGATGTAGGAAAGGTAAGAGGCTTTTTCAGACAGCCAGTTATGCAACAACTAACACACATCTTGTTGGCTCAAGCATCGTTCATTACTGCTGCCATTTGGGGAAGTATCAGAAGCAGTTCTGAGCAGGTTAAAGCAGCAGACTGAGAGTCACAGACTGTCCTACTCCTACAGAAGAATCTGAAGTGAGGAGAAAGGAGGGGAATATCAGTTGTTTCTGCTCTGCCCTTTAACCTCGAACTTAACCAGTAGAAAAATGTAAGAGCAGTTGGGATTAATAAGATATTTAACATCTAAAATTCCTTTAACTGTTTGCTTTACCTGCCAAGAAATATCTTGATCACTGTTCATACATTTGCAAATTACTAAAATGCAAAATACCAGGAAGTCATGTGAAGCTTGACTGAAACTATAAGACAAATCTTAGCCTAAACAGGGAAGAACTGAGGGCTTTCACCCAGATCAGGTAGCAGCAGGAGTGCCAACACATGAAACTGTTCCTTTAGGAAGACCAGAAGGAGAGCTGAAGCCCAGCCCATCATTCCCAGTCATCACTGGCCGTTTCAGCACTGAGGTGCTTACGGGAAGTAGTTGTCTCCCATGTCATTTTCTGATGACATGACCATGTTTCTGTAACATGGTCAGAATATCAGTAAGAACCAAAAAATTTTTATTTCTTATAAAGTGAATTTCTGAATGTAGTGCTTGGAGAAGTATTCAAACAACTGTACTGCTTAGTTCCCCATGAAAGCATCAGAACTTGAACCTGCCTACTACAACATCAGATGCCACACTTGGCAAGGCTGAGATGGGCAAAATCTTGGGGAAAACTGTTGGGATTAATTTTCTTGTGGAGGTTTTTAGGTATTAGATTTGGGGAGAGGTACTTGGGAGGAGATAAGAGTGGCTAAAATAAGAGGAGTTTGGCTTGCATATCCTCACCAACAGGTTATTAGCACAGGAAAAAAACATAAAGGCTTGTTCAAAAGCTTGAATTACAATTAATTCTAACAGAGCTTTTCGTGTTGCACACCAAGCAGACTGTTGAATTTGTGTTCTGCATACTGGACCCATGTGCTGACACTTTCCACAGTCTGAAAGGAATTGAAAACCCTGCCCTTTATCTTGTGTGTGCCTGCAGCAAAGGCTGCCTGTAACCCTTTCCTAACAGCAGGATTTCAGAGGAACAGCCTAAGGAAGATGACTGAATCCTCAACCTGCACAAAATAAAAATACAGATTTAGAGACCACAGAAGACAAGAAATACCCAAATGCATGTCTGTGCCTCAGCATCCTCACCACTAGCAGTCAATGGTCCTTGGGCTAGATCCACATCAAGTGAAAAAGGTTCCCTTTACAAAACAGTGCCTCTTCTGAACAAAGACTTTCAATCTTTTGACCAGCAGCTTCCCTCTCCCTTAGCTGGTCTTAGTTATTCAAACAAACAAACAAACAAACAAGAAAACCCCTCCCTCTGCTAAGCATCCCTCCACTCTTCTCTTTTAACTTTCCTTGTGTCTCCCTTCACACCTCCCTGGGTTTGTTGTTTTTAAGCCCATGCACTAACCTGCTCTCTTTGTTCTTCTTTCTTTCTTTCTTTTTTTTTTTTTTTTTTTTTAATTCTGTTTGCTTAAAACTCCCAGCCCCAAAAGCAAATTTGGAGAAAACTGGCTTTCTCTAGTTATCCCATTGTTCTTCTCAGGCAAGATCTATTTCAGATGTTTCTATTTCAAATATTTAATGACAGACCTATTCATACAAAGACATGCCAACACCACTCCCCTGTCTCTTTGGCATGATGCAAAGCACAGAAAAAGATGGTCACAAGATACAAGGACTCTGTTAGTCAATAAAATCAAATTCTAACCCATAAACAGTAAGTAGCAGATTCCATACATTGCCACACTTCCCTGAAGCACAAGCCTAACAAAAAGCAGTTTCAAGGGGAATGCCATGGGCCAGGCTCATCCTTTTAGCACTACCACAGTGGACCTTGGCTGGCTTCCCTTCCAAGAGGACCTGTAGAGAAGCCAAAGACTGTATTGAGCCTTGGAGAGTTAACTTATTTTTGGGGTCTTGTCTTCACTGCAATGTTGCTTGTAAGTACAATGCTAATGTTGCCCCCAGCACGACTCCCTCCCACAACAGAAGCCTCTTGCTCAAACTAAATACTATTTTAAATTGACTCTTTGGCCTAAAAGCAGATTACAAGTGGCAGCCCATGTGTTGTAGTTACCAGTGTCAGTAACACAGTGGCAACTCATCAGTTCTCTAGTTGTGAGCTCAAAGCGCTGATCTAAGATCCTGCCTTGTAACTGGGGTCTAGATTAAAAACACAGAATCCTTCTTCCCAGTTATCTGCACTAAGCTCAAGCAGGTAGAGGTCAGACATCAATAATCTGCATCTTCTCTCCTCAGTCTCGCAGTACATTCTGACAAAGAAATTCTCAATATTCACAGAAGAAATCGCATGCCCTCAAATCAGGGTTGGATAGAGAACCCTTACCAACACCAGTCTGTAACCTTGCTGTAACAACCTGAGTCAGCATAGCTAAAACAATACCAGTGATAATCACTTTTACCCACTACCTCTGCCTGCCCGGGCCATTGTTTGGAGTGAGGACGGCTTTTTGCAAGTCCCTTAGAGTCACCATCTGTGAAACACAGCACAGCTGCACCAACAGGCAACATGAACACAGATTTTAGCTTTGTGTGAGTTGCAGGTCTTACAAATACAGTCAAAAGCATTTTAAGGCATGTGAGAGCAAGTTAAGGTGTCCATAGTCAGTTGCTGTGTGGCAACTCCAACCTTTTGCATACTGACTGTTACCTACATAATCCTTCTCTTCACTCTAATAAATTGGCATGAGATGAGCAAATCTAAGTACTGGCAACTAATACAAACCACCACAAAAGTGGCCATATTATCATCTGAACGTCTCATGCTCTACTTTATTTACAATCTCCAGGGCTGTAATCCCAGCTGGTAGTTTTAATTAGAAGTGAATGTACTTTCACAACAAATTGGACCTTCTCCTTCTTGGGCTTCAGAGATCCCTTCCACAGATGACTGTGGATTATGAAGAGACAAATTTTGGGGATGTTGGGCAGACAGTTTTCTCATATCACATATCTGAAAAGCTAGCATCACTCTCTGGCTCACAAGAGGACTTGGCAGCAAGTCAGACTATGACTATCCAGAAGACTCTTCCCTCAGTGTCAGAGTAAGAAGACACATAATGGAAACTTGCAACAAAGCACAAATAATTCTATTTAGAAGTCAATGCAAAATTGTGGACTACAAGGCCAGCTGCAGGAGCTGTTTTCTTGTGAGTTTTGAGCCAAAGCATGGGGCAACACGGCAAGCGCCATTAGAGTATGTAAATATCTACTCTGGCTTTTCCCAGTCTGTAGCCACTAGCGAATGCCTCACTGTGAAACTGCAAGTGCAGTAGGGGTTTAACAGCCTTTTTCTTCTCTTTGCTCTGGGATTTTTCTTTTCTTGGCTGTAACTAGTTGTAACCAGTTGTGAATAAGTCGTTATCCCTCTGTGCAACTGACAGCAACTAAAAGAAACCAGTGTCATTATGCAATTTAAAAAGAAAAAAAAAAGAAAAGAAAAAGAAAAAAAAAAAAGAAAAGTTTTGTTTTATGGTTAATTATCCATGGTCTATTTACAAAATAAATCAACCCATTGTGCACCACCAGGATTTGTGGCCTCATTTGAACTTTGCTTTTCATTAATCACTTTAAAATAAAAGCTAACTAGTTGATTTTTTTCTTCATTTTCGTTTATTATTTGCATCTGGGTATAAATTGAAAAAATTATGAAAGAACAAAGTATGGATTATTCACCCTCAGTTTCATGACTTACATGATCTCAGTCTTGTCTTTCTCCACGTGCCTAAACAGATGCACAGTCCAAAAATTCCAGCATTCTGTAAGAAATGTAATCACAAGAAGATTGAAATATTTTTTATACCCAAACTTTGAGTTATTAAAAAAAATCATAGCAAAAAGCTTGCCTTAAGAAATGAAAAGGTGGGCAAGCATCTACAAACATATTTAAGCTACTGAAGGAGGCAAATGAAATTACACGTGTAGACATCCAAGTAATACATAAATGTTTGTGACAGCTGAGTACAAAGCTATTTTGTTTAGACAAAATCTACTTGCAGGCAGGCTGAAGAAGGCAGAAAACGGATATCTGATTTCTTTACAGTGCTTACAGTTTATACAAGAAACCAGAAATATTTTTTTCTGAAAATGGTTTAATTATGTAAGAAATTTAGATCTTGTCCCTATGAGATGACAGAGGACTACTGTATTTTTGAAAACTAGCCAATGGAGAGGCAGGCAAAGGACATTTTTAGCTGCTCTTTTAATAAAACCCAACTAACTGTAATGACACTTATTTCATTCTGACAGGAAATAAGATACATATTAGCATAATAGTGAAATTCTTAACTAAGAAAGACTGAACAATTTATTTTTCTCTACTATGAACTGTTCAAGTAAAACTGAAAAATAAGAAAGGGTGATAAACATACATGATAGAAGTATATGCAATGACAATATAGAAAAAAATGTCATTCCTCCTTTTTTTTTCTTTTTATTCACCAGTCACCCTTAAGTGTTCTTTGTCTTTACTATGACAAACAGAAAGTCAGAGTGCTCCACTTAACCCCTAATGAAATGGTACAGAAAAAGTTAGGCTGTCTGGAGGTCAAAAAATTTGATTTTGCTGCACTTCAGACTACAACTTTTTGTTTCTAAACTCCTGAGCTGGATACAAGTATAAAGGTGACTGAACTTACCCAACAGGTATATCAGAAACTAAGACAAAGAACTGAAGCTAAGAAATTGGATCATTAATACTATGTATTGTTACTAATAGGAGCTCTAAAAGATAATTTTTGCTTGCCTGTTGATGTGAAAAAAGGATTGTAGAAATTTGAAAAGTTAAAGAAACCCACTGCCTCCTCCTCCACTTTGCAGATGGTTGAGATGTTTTAACTTTCATTTACAAATGTAAATTAGCTCCTACTTAATGAAAGTAAAAATTTAAAGCTGCCTCCACCTGATTGCAAAGCCCAGCGGCCGGGCTGGGAGGCTGGACAGGCCTTCAAAGGAAATAAAAGCCTTTTTAAGAACTCCTCGTATGAACGCCTGCCCTTGCAGCAGCAAGCTGTGGCCCTACAGCCGCTTTCCATTATAAATGCTAAATTGGGAAATGTTTAACATTCTTTGTTTAATCTTTGCAGTATAAAGAAAAAACAGCTGATTCTCAGAAACATGACAGCCTGAGCAACCATTAGTTATCTGCCTCCCCCTTCCTCAAAGCAGAACAGGCCATTTCCAGCCTCAGCGGCAACTGACGTTTTCTGATCAGGAATGTATATTTGGATGGAACCTAGAAGATGGGATTGAAACTTTGTCATTTTTTTGTTCCAGTGGTGTAAGGGGGTGAGGGCAACCAAGATATTTAATAAAAAAATGTGAAGAGAAAAACAGTTTAAGAAATATATGTAGTGGGAACTATAGACAAAGGTGGTTTCAGATGCTTTCTGCACTGTCTTCTGTTAATATCTTTTCACAGTCCTTCCATGAAGGAGAGCGTCATTATTTATTTTGATTTAAAACATTATCAACTGAGTGTATTTTTCTCTCGTTCACAGTACAGTCAGAGCAGCCAGTCCATCTATTCTGCTGCAACCAGTCACATATAAATCAGCACAAACTCAGGAACGAGCAGTCCTCTCAGCTGCTTACACAGACAAACTCTCTTTGTATCTCGTCTCTGCCAGAACTTCCCTAAAGGGGTGACTTTCATCACGTGTCCAAAAAGTCACACAAGTCAGAGGTTTCTTCGGTTGAAATTATGAAGTAATACCTCAAACCGAGTCCCCACTGAAACTGAACTAACTGAAATATTTAGGTTTTTTTACAAGATTTTACCCTGAAGCACACTTTCCAGATCATCAAGTCCAGCTCCCTGCCCTCTTCTACTACAGATATTAAAGGTCACTTCTTAAAGAGTTGTTCTTAAGCCTCTGCATCAACAAGGTGAAGAGAGCTTAAACATCGTCCCCACACAAGCCCTGAGCATTCAGTAGCTGGCAGTGATGAGACCAGACATCCAGGGAACAAATCCACGAGCAAACAAGGATGCTCTCCTTTGCCACAGGGGCTCTGACAGACAGTACGGCACGGAGCATCCCCTCCTGGGGCTCCCCGATGGAGGCGCTCGGCCCAAACAGAGCCCTTGCTTCCTTTAGTGCCAGCATAAGGCATTACCCGCGGCAAGAGGCCAGAGCAGGGAGCAGCCCAGTGCTGGCCCTGCTCGCAGCACTGCACACATGCCCACAGCTCCTCCACCCTGCCGGCCTCGGGTGACCCTTCCCTGCAGGCGTCACAGCCCACCTGCACGCAGGGGTTAAGCAGCAGGGGCAAGAGCTCCAGGTTCTCTCCAGGAGAAATGAACCAGCTGTGCTGTTTGCTGTGAATGTGGAAGATAACAGATTTGAAAAGGAGGGCTGCAGGAACATTCAGTGCAGCTATGCCTGATAGTTCTGTTACAATTACTCCAAAAACATTGCTTCTTGCAGCATTTCCTAGGGACTTCTGCAAGGCAAAAAGACCAGTGGAACTACTGACGGTGCTAGCAATGAATTACTGATAGTGAAGGACACAAAATTGTCATAAACTTCAACCAAAGTGTGAGAGCTGCAAAAACGACTGTTCTGAGGAAGGGAGGGAGGGAGGAAGGAAACCTTGCAGAATAATTGCTAGATAAAAAGCCTACCATAGCTAATTCAGCACATTGCTGGATACAGCAAAATAATTTAGCTAGCTATTTTTCAAAAATACCCAATCCTAAGTATGTGTCAGGGAAGAGAAATAATGAAATTTTGAAATAAAAATTAATGTAGAGCTCTTTTCATTTCTGTTGCTGTTTTTTAAATCTTTAGGGTTCATATTTAACCTTTTCTCTAAAATAACAAACTTGAATTTAAGAAAACTAAGGCACAGATCTTCACAGAGACAGGACTCAAACAGCTTATGTTTAAAAATAAAATAGCAGAGTCTTTTTAAGTTGTGAAGTGAAGACTTATTCATTAAAACTGAATATTAACATCTCATTTGAGAAACTGTTCAAACCATCCCTTTTGCCTATTTTGCCTATGAATTTAGGCAGACAGAAGTTTCACAGGTTGCATGTCTAGCATCTGGTCAAGTCAAATCACCCTCTCCTCCATAAATTAAAATTAGATTTCCATTCTGCAGAACACACAAAATTCCCTCATTCTGGTTGCTGTTCAACCGTGCATATATAACCAGAGTTTTAGCAGCAGGCATTTACAAGGGCTTTTCCCTTTTTAAACGAGAAAATACTCAGGAAATAATTAAATGTTTGTTTGACCATTAAGGAAGGTTAGTGTCTAGATAGCAGCCCACCCAAGCATACAAAGCAAAGCTGGGGACTGAAGACCTGGGAAGTTAGGGGTAACCCAGTGACACGCAGAGAAATGTCTCAGTAACTGAAAAGCAAGCAGATGCCTTTAAGAGGGAAAATTGCTTGTCTGCCATTAAAAGTTATCAGGTTTTGTACACCTATTCCAAATAAGTCTCCCATTGCAATCAGCACCGACGAAAAACTTACAGACCGAGACTCTGAAAAGACAAGCAGAAAGTAATTTTCACTCAAAGACAAATGATCACTCTTTTGATTAAGTCAAACACTGGACTCATTACTGAGCATGTTCTCTGTAAAGTTACACCATTTAAATCTTCCAAGCATTTTATAAAGGGCTGACAGCTATGAGGGACCAGGCTAAGGGATTTTAAGGAGGTTCTCTCCTCTACTGCATGCAACTATGTTATAAACTGCTACTGATATGCTGATTCAGCCACACCTTACAAATACATAGGTTTTCAGGCCCTATAATTCCTACAGGATAGTGTTCCAGAATTTAATCATCTGATGACCAAGGTTATTTTCATTTATATATTGTCATTACATTATATAGGGCTATTGAATCTTATAAATGGTTGGTGACCACAGTTTGGTCTGTGTGGCAACACAGGCCTGAAATTTAAATAATTTTTTAACCTCTACAAAATATTTCAATGCCTTCTCCCTATGTATCTGAACTGATTTCACAAGAACTAATGAAATAGGTTTAGAATACTTCTGAAAGGCACAATAGAAGAGTATCTGTTCCATTGTGATTCCCTAAGTGATTCTATATGGAGACACAAACGGAGGCAGAAGTTTTCATTGCCCAGAGCCAAAGCAAGGGCTGGTTTCAGAATCAGGTGTTCCAATACATTTCTGAATATATGTGTACTCCCCCGGAGTTTGGTGAAATATATTTACAGAGATTAAAACATACTTACAGAGCTTAAAATATTCCACTTCCTGTTTTCACAAAACCGTGTTTCATCTAAAGCTTGTCTCAGGGATCACTGTTGAAAGATGTCAGCTTCAAAATTTTTTTTCTACTATGCCTGAAGTGGGCATAATTCACAGGCAGACTCATTTTATGGCTCTTTTCTAATGCCAGAAAAACACTTTAAAATAACTGAAGATTGAGCCCTATAACTTTAGAATTGACCTAATAGACTCCTGACATCATATCAACAGAATTAGTAGCATTACACTGGGGAAGAATCTGTCCAAGAATGTGCACGCAGACAAGAACGATTCATAAAGGGCAGAAGAAAACAAACCTTGACACAATGCTCACAACCACAAACAGGTCAGATCCTCAGAGGATACAACTAGGAATAAATTGGTTGCAATAGCTACAGGAATAAATTCTTCCTGTAATATGAACAGAAAAGAAAGAATGAACTTTTCTTTATTACTGACCCATTTCTTCCCTTTCTTGAAGCTGAAGAGTGCCTCTTTTTTCTTTTTTAAAAATTATTGTTT